CATAGACCCATAGACCTCATAGACCCATCCGCTGACACGTCCACTCCCAAATATCTGAATACGTTCACCTCCTCCATACTCTCTCCCTCCAATCTGATATTCAATCTTTCATCACCTAATCTTTTTGTTATCCTCATAACTTTACTCTTTCCTGTATTCACCTTTAATTTTCTTCTTTTGCACACCCTACCAAATTCATCCACCAATCTCTGCAACTTCTCTTCAGAATCTCCCAAGAGCACAGTGTCATCAGCAAAGAGCAACTGTGACAACTCCCACTTTGTGTGTGATTCTTTATCTTTTAACTCCACGCCTCTTGCCAAGACCCTCGCATTTACTTCTCTTACAACCCCATCTATAAATATATTAAACAACCACGGTGACATCACACATCCTTGTCTAAGGCCTACTTTTACTGGGAAAAAATTTCCCTCTTTTCCCACATACTCTTACTTGAGCCTCACTATCCTCGTAAAAACTCTTCACTGCTTTCAGTAACCTACTTCCTACACCATACACTTGCAACATCTGCCACATTGCCCCCCCATCCACCCTGTCATACCCTTTTCCAAATCCATAAATGCCACAAAGACCTCTTTAGCCTTATCTAAATACTGTTCACTTATATGTTTCACTGTAAACACCTGGTCCACACACCCCCTACCTTTCCTAAAGCCTCCCTGTTCATCTGCTATCCCATTCTCCGTCTTACTCTTAATTCTTTCAATTATAACTCTACCATACACTTTACCAGGTACACTCAACAGACTTATCCCCCTATAATTTTTGCACTCTCTTTTATCCCCTTTGCCTTTATACAAAGGAACTATGCATGCTCTCTGCCAATCCCTAGGTACCTTACCCTCTTCCATACATTTATTAAATAATTGCACCAACCACTCCAAAACTATATCCCCACCTGCTTTTAACATTTCTATCTTTATCCCATCAATCCCGGCTGCCTTACCCCCTTTCATTTTACCTACTGCCTCACGAACTTCCCCCACACTCACAACGGGCTCTTCCTCACTCCTACAAGATGTTATTCCTCCTTGCCCTATACACGAAATCACAGCTTCCCTATCTTCATCAACATTTAACAATTCCTCAAAATATTCCCTCCATCTTCCAATACCTCTAACTCTCCATTTAATAACTCTCCTCTCCTATTTTTAACTGACAAATCCATTTGTTCTCTAGGTTTTTCTTAACTTGTTAATCTCATTTCCAAAACTTTTTCTTATTTTCAACAAAATTTGTTGATAACATCTCACCCACTCTCTCATTTGCTCTCTTTTTACATTGCTTCACCACTCTCTTAACCTCTCTCTTTTTCTCCATATACTTTTTCCCTCCTTGCATCACTTCTACTTTGTAAAAACTTCTCATATGCTAACTTTTTCTCCCTTACTACTCTCTTTACATCATCATTCCACCAATCGCTCCTTCCCTCCTGCACCCACTTTCCTGTAACCACAAACTTCTGCTGAACACTCTAACACTACATTTTTAAACCTAAACCCCCTACCTCTTCGACCCCATTGCCTATGCTCTCATTAGCCCATCTATCCTCCAATAGCTGTTTATATCTTACCCTAACTGCCTCCTCTTTTAGTTTATAAACCTTCACCTCTCTCTTCCCTGATGCTTCTATTCTCCTTGTATCCCATCTACCTTTTACTCTCAGTGTAGCTACAACTAGAAAGTGATCTGATATATCTGTGGCCCCTCTATAAAACATGTACATCCTGAAGTCTACTCAACAGTCTTTTATCTACCAATACATAATCCAACAAACTACTGTCATTTCGCCCTACATCATATCGTGTATACTTATTTATCCTCTTTTTCTTAAAATATGTATTACCTATAACTAAACCCCTTTCTATACAAAGTTCAATCAAAGGGCTCCATTACATTTACACCTGGCACCCCAAACTTACCTACCACACCCTCTCTAAAAGTTTCTCCTACTTTAGCATTCAGGTCCCCTACCACAATTACTCTCTCACTTGGTTCAAAGGCTCCTATACATTCACTTAACATCTCCCAAAATCTCTCTCTCTCCTCTGCATTCCTCTCTTCTCCAGGTGCATACACGCTTATTATGACCCACTTCTCGCATCCAACCTTTACTTTAATCCACATAATTCTTGAATTTACACATTCATATTCTCTTTTCTCCTTCCATAACTGATCATTTAACATTACTGCTACCCCTTCCTTTGCTCTAACTCTCTCAGATACTCCAGATTTAATCCCATTTATTTCCCCCCACTGAAACTCTCCTACCCCCTTCAGCTTTGTTTCGCTTAGAGCCAGGACATCCAACTTCTTTTCATTCATAACATCAGCAATCATCTGTTTCTTGTCATCCGCACTACATCCACGCACATTTAGCATCCCAGTTTTATTATATAAAACATAAGTCTTCAGCATGTGTTATGTGGGTTGGTGTAAGATCTACAATACATGCTCATCAATTCTGAAATGGACTCCCTTTCCTCAATTTATTTAGCTTAAAGCCTTGTCTACAAAATCCTGCTGGGAGACAAATTCCTTATTAGTATGTAAGCAAGCACTACAATGATCCTGAACCAACTTACAAACCAAATCCTTATATTTTTGTCACCTCTGTCCACCTTTAATAACATCTACATAACATTGGATATGGCTATGTTGTAGTAACTGAATCATCCCAATGGGAATCAGTTGGCCCTGTCAGTTGCATGTACAATAATCTCAGCCTTTGATCTTGCCAATGAATAATTGTCTTCAGGATTCCATCTCACTTTTGCCTGCATCCTCATGTTTAGAGATCATGCTAACACCTCAAGCACAGTGTAGGGTATGCTGCTCTTCTGTGATTACCAAGACTTGTCCTAGAGCCAAAGGCCCTGCTAGAGATGGAGCATATATGCTGGAGATTAACCACTTCACCTCTAGCAATGGACCTCACCATGGAACTATGGTGGGACAAGTTCTTCACCATTACAACTAAAGAACAATTCAAAGATTAGCTCTGCATGGAACATAAGAATTGTGCAGCTTCAGATACAGGTTAGTAGTGATGAACCTGCTATAACAACACACCTACCAGGCTATGGTGTCACATGGCCTGGTAGGCAACACTCTCGCATCACACACTGAATGTCTGTGGTTTGATCCCTGGCAAGGGTGAAAACATTGGGTATGTTTCCTTACACAAGTCTACTGTCTCATTCACCTAGCAAGCAAATAGGTACCTGGGTGTTAGTCGACTAATGTGGGCCACATCCTTTTGGACAAGATTTAAGGACCCCAATGGAAATAAGACAGACAGTTGTGCAGCTTTAGATATAGGATAGCAGTGATGAACCTGCCATAAAAACACAGCCCCCCCAAACTTGCATTACTAGCACCCACCTGGATTACTCTGGAGGTACTGCATGAGGATCTTAATTCTATGGATGGAATTTGCAAGAAAAGGCAAATGAACAGCGTAACGTACCAGATACTACGAACTGACTACACAAGTGGACACATCAGTACTCTACCCCAATTTTGTTCATCTGGTCTCTCCTTTAGGTCTTAAAGTCTAGGTACTAAAACAAAGACAACAACTTAAGAAAATATGTATATATTTTAATCATATACAAACTATTTTTACAACACTAAATACAAATTACAATTGATTAAACACAACACACATTATGATAAATATTTATATTACAGTACTTTATCTTACCATAGTACTGTATTAAACTAATTTTGAATAGCCTCTTATATATATATTTAGCCTCCATGGGGAAGTGGAACAGAATTCTTCCTCCGTAAGCCATGCGTGTTGTAAGAGGCAACTAAAATGCCGGGAGCAAGGGGCTAGTAACCTCTTCTCCTGTATATATTACTAAATGTAAAAGGAGAAACTTTCGTTTTTCCTTTTGGGCCACCCCGCCTCGGTGGGATACGGCCGGTGTGTTGAAAGAAAGAAGATATATATATATATATATATATATATATTTATTATAGGTAGTAGGTTGGTAGACAGCAACCGCCCAGGGAGGTACTACCGTCCTGCCAAGTGAGTGTAAAACGAAAGCCTGTAATTGTTTTACATGATGGTAGGATTGCTGGTGTCCTTTTTTCTGTCTCATGAACATGCAAGATTTCAGGTACGTCTTGCTACTTCTACTTACACTTAGGTCACACTACACATACATGTACAAGCACATATATACACACCCCTCTGGGTTTTCTTCTATTTTCTTTCTAGTTCTTATTCTTGTTTATTTCCTCTTATCTCCATGGGGAAGTGGAACAGAATTCTTCCTCCGTAAGCCATGCGTGTTGTAAGAGGCAACTAAAATGCCGGGAGCAAGGGGCTAGTAACCTCTTCTCCTGTATATATTACTAAATGTAAAAGGAGAAACTTTCGTTTTTCCTTTTGGGCCACCCCGCCTCGGTGGGATACGGCCGGTGTGTTGAAAGAATATATATTTATATATAACCGGTTATTTTCATATAGTCGGACTCGAGTCCTGGAAATGGGAAGTACAATGCCTGCACTTTAAAGGAGGGGTTTGGGATATTGGCAGTTTGGAGGGATATGTTGTGTATCTTTATACATATATGCTTCTAAACTGTTGTATTCTGAGCACCTCTGCAAAAACAGTGATAATGTGTGTGTGTGATGAAAGTGTTGAATGATGATGAAAGTATTTTCTTTTTGGGGATTTTCTTTCTTTTTTGGGTTACCCTGCCTCGGTGGGAGACGGCCGACTTGTTGAAAAAAAAAAAAAATATAATGTATATATTTAGCATTTTAAATCCCTCAGAGTTCAAATGAAGGCCTACCAACATGAACAAGCTTAAATCCATGTTAAAGTTCTATCACATTAAAGTTTATGTCTATTATCCTACTGTGGAAGTTGTACATTAAGTTTGTGTTAAAAGAATTATTTGCAGAGTTACATCTATTTCATATTACAGCCTAATATTGTGACACAACTTTGCCACCATCACTAATGTTAAAAATCCTGTAGATATATTTACAGTATGGAGGAAATTACAATTAACATGTGATTGCAAACATAAAAATACCAGTGAAAATAAGAAAAACACCTGAGCGCTGTCATGGGCTTACACACATATCTTCGGAGGAATTCTTCTGAAGATGCGTGTGGAAGCATGTGAATTTTCACGCTCAGATATTTTACCTATTTTCACTGTGGATTTTTATTTATTTACAGTATGTAACTTTCAAGTATTGTACCAATTAAGCCTCTCTTTAATAAAGACAATTATACAAATAAAAACTACTTTTTTTAATACATACCAAGATCTGAGATTAAGCAAAAGATAAATTAACAAGAAAATTTGGATAAAGCAGAAGGAAGATAAATACAGTACTTTTTACTTTTCTCTTTGGGCAAAAAATGAAGTAAATTTTGTACTGTATGCTATTATGTATTCCTGGTATTTAAAATGATCAAGGTTAACTACAAATACTAATCATCAACAGAAAAGTAATTTTTGGACTATATACTTTTTACATTTAGTCAAGGCATTTTAACAATACTTTAGCTTTTTTAAAATTTATCTGTTTTTTTTAAAGAAGGCAATGTACCTTAATCCATTACATTTTTACTAGTTTTTCACACTTTTGTGCTTCATAATTTTACATTGTCTTGTTCAGCTGATATATACAGTAAGCTCTCTTACAAAGTTGGTACTATTAAAATTTGGATGCACTTTTCAATCACATTTACAAAAAATCCAACTATATTGAGGAGCTTCGTAAGGAAACTGAGTGTAAGTCTACATTAAAGACTCAGTCTTCCTCTGTGTCCTTCATCCTGACGAGAGGAGTGTTCTTTGCTACGTTGTCTCCCTCACTGTAGAGGACCTTCTCCACCACTCCACCACTCGCTGCCTTGATTACATACTGTCAACACGAGGAATATTCTCATTAATTAAGGCAAAACTGACTTATGGTTATAAAAAATACTGTGTTATTTTAAAAAATACCATTTGTCAATAAAAATAATTATGTAAACACATGTATTAGGAAGATGGAGGGAATATTTTGAGGAATTGTTAAATGTTGATGAAGATAGGGAAGCTGTGATTTCGTGTATAGGACAAGGAGGAATAACATCTTGTAGGAGTGAGGAAGAGCCAGTTGTGAGTGTGGGGGAAGTTTGTGAGGCAGTAGGTAAAATGAAAGGGGGTAAGGCAGCCGGGATTGATGGGATAAAGACAGAAATGTTAAAAGCAGGTGGGGATATAGTTTTGGAGTGGTTGGTGCAATTATTTAATAAATGTATGGAAGAGGGTAAGGTACCTAGGGATTGGCAGAGAGCATGCATAGTTCCTTTGTATAAAGGCAAAGGGGATAAAAGAGAGTGCAAAAATTATAGGGGGATAAGTCTGCTGAGTATACCTGGTAAAGTGTATGGTAGAGTTATTATTGAAAGAATTAAGAGTAAGATGTAGAATAGGATAGCAGATGAACAAGGAGGCTTTAGGAAAGGTAGGGGTGTGTGGCCCAGGTGTTTACAGTGAAACATATAAGTGAACAGTATTTAGATAAGGCTAAAGAGGTCTTTGTGGCATTTATGGATTTGGAAAAGGCGTATGACAGGGTGGATAGGGGGGCAATGTGGCAGATGTTGCAAGTGTATGGTGTAGGAGGTAGGTTACTGAAAGCAGTGAAGAGTTTTTACGAGGATAGTGAGGCTCAAGTTAGAGTATGTAGGAAAGAGGGAAATTATTTCCCAGTAAAAGTAGGCCTTAGACAAGGATGTGTGATGTCACCGTGGTTGTTTAATATATTTATAGATGGGGTTGTAAGAGAAGTAAATGCGAGGGTCTTGGCAAGAGGCGTGGAGTTAAAAGATAAAGAATCACACACAAAGTGGGAGTTGTCACAGCTGCTCTTTGCTGATGACACTGTGCTCTTGGGAGATTCTGAAGAGAAGTTGCAGAGATTGGTGGATGAATTTGGTAGGGTGTGCAAAAGAAGAAAATTAAAGGTGAATACAGGAAAGAGTAAGGTTATGAGGATAACAAAAAGATTAGGTGATGAAAGATTGAATATCAGATTGGAGGGAGAGAGTATGGAGGAGGTGAATGTATTTCAGATATTTGGGAGTGGATGTGTCAGCGGATGGGTCTATGAAAGATGAGGTGAATCATAGAATTGATGAGGGGAAAAGAGTGAGTGGTGCACTTAGGAGTCTGTGGAGACAAAGAACTTTGTCCTTGGAGGCAAAGAGGGGAATGTATGAGAGTATAGTTTTACCAACGCTCTTATGGGTGTGAAGCATGGGTGATGAATGTTGCAGCGAGGAGAAGGCTGGAGGCAGTGGAGATGTCATGTCTGAGGGCAATGTGTGGTGTGAATATAATGCAGAGAATTCGTAGTTTGGAAGTTAGGAGGAGGTGCGGGATTACCAAAACTGTTGTCCAGAGGGCTGAGGAAGGGTTGTTGAGGTGGTTCGGACATGTAGAGAGAATGGAGTGAAACAGAATGACTTCAAGAGTGTATCAGTCTGTAGTGGAAGGAAGGCGGGGTAGGGGTCGGCCTAGGAAAGGTTGGAGAGAGGGGTAAAGGAGGTTTTGTGGTGCGAGGGGCTTGGACTTCCAGCAGGCATGCGTGAGCGTGTTTGATAGGAGTGAATGGAGACAAATGGTTTTTAATACTTGACGTGCTGTTGGAGTGTGAGCAAAGTAACATTTATGAAGGGGTTCAGGGAAACCGGCAGGCCGGACTTGAGTCCTGGAGATGGGAAGTACAGTGCCTGCACTCTGAAGGAGGGGTGTTAATGTTGCAGTTTAAAAACTGTAGTGTAAAGCACCCTTCTGGCAAGACAGTGATGGAGTGAATGATGGTGAAAGTTTTTCTTTTTCGGGCCACCCTGCCTTGGTGGGAATCGGCCAGTGTGATAAAAAAAAAAAAAAAAATGTCGTGATGATACGAGTGACTAACTCTTGAAATATACACAAGAGCCCCGCTTTATGGCATTCCGTCTTTTGGCGTTCCCTTAATTCGGCAGTTTTAAATTATACTCATTGTTCATTATGCAAAACAACCACTGTGAAAGAGTAGTGAAATTCCAAGCGCTTTCATGACTACTCACATTGTCAAGGAACTATGAAAGTAATACATCAAAGGAAGGCAATTAAAGAGCTTAGACTACAAATTGCCTTCCTTTGATGTATTACTTTCATAGTTCCTTGACAATGTGAGTAGTCACGAAAGCACTTGGAATTTCACTACTCTTTCACAGTGGTTGTTTTGCATATTTTAAAATCACCTGTTTACTGTGATCTTATTGCATTGTTCATTATGTTCAGTGCTTTCTCTGCTTTTTCACCAACCATTCTCAGCCTGTTGTGTTCAACAGCTGAGTCAGGGAAGGGCAGTTGGCACCATTTTATTGTTGGTAATTCAGTCTCTGTAGAGCATTTGTGCACTCTGGGTCTCTTTGTATTCTGGCAATTTTCCAAAATTTCAAATGATTGGACTCATCACCATTAACCCTTAAACTGTCCAAACGTAGATCTATGTGTTTTCAACATTTGAAAGTATGTAAAAAAAGTAGATCTTCTTTTTTTTTTTTTACATTTGAAAACATGTAAAAAAACTTTTATCTACTTTTTTTTTTTTTGTTATATTTGAAAATATGTAAAAAAAACGTAGATCTACTTTTGGAGCACTACGCATGTGAACGTAGATCTGCTTGGACAGTTTAAGGGTTAATGATATAGTTGGATCAAGATAATGGTGAACCTTGCAAAAATGTTGGTCTTGAAGAATTATAGTCACATATGATGCAGAAGAAAACATCCGAAAGATCACATGGTACCATAAGATGGTGGCTACTAGCAGCCTTTGGCCTGCAAATTATCCTACACTCAGGAGAGATGTCAATGCAAATTAAAAATGCTATTTTGCTGATACCACTCCATCTCAGAATTTTGATGATCATAACTTTTCAATGACATGCATAAAATTTGGTGAGAGGAAGTGGTATGCAAACAAAAAATGGTTTTTAAGACTTGATGTGCTGTTGGAGTGTGAGCAAGATAATATTTATGAAGGGATTCAGGGAAACCGGCAGGCCGGACTTGAGTCCTGGAGATGGGAAGTACAGTGTCTGCACTCTGAAGGAGGGGTGTTAATGTTGCAGTTTTATAACTGTAGTGTAAGTGCACCTCTGGCAAGACAGTGATGGAGTGAATGATGATGAAAGTTTTTCTTTTTCAGGCCACCCTGCCTTGGTGGGAAACAGCCAATGTGCTAATAAAAAAATAAAATAAAAAATAGTTTGTTGTACATAAAAAAAAAAGGTTCCTTTGAAAAAGTTACTGTACAGTGAACCTAATGTAATTTTAAAGGTGGAATAAAACTCACTTTAATCTCTAATAATTAGATGCTCAATTTTTTTTATTGACACATCGGCCTTCTCCCACCAAGGCAAGGTGGCTTCGAAAAAGAAAAACTTTCATCATTCACTCCAGCACTGTCTTGCTAGAGGGGCGCTTACACTACAACATTAACACTCCTCCTTCAGAGTTGAGGCACTGTACGTACTTCCCATCTCCAGGACTCAAGTCCGGCCTGCCAGTTTCTCTGAGTACCTTCATAAATGTTACCTGGCTCACACTCACACTCCAACAGCATGTCAAGTCCTAAAAACCATTTGTCTCCATTCGCTCCTATCTTACATGCTCACGCATGCTTGCTGGAAGTCAAAGCTCCTCGCACACAAAACTTCCTTTACCCCCTCCCTCCAACCTTTCCTAGGCCAACCCCTACCCCGCCTTCCCTCCATTACAGATTTATACACTCTCAAAGTCATTCTATTTTGTTCCACCCTCTCTACATGTCTGAACCATCTCAACAAGTCCTCCTCAGCCCTCTGGATAATAGTTTTGGTAATCTTGCACCTCCTCCGAATTTCCAAACTACGAATTCTCTGCATTATATTCACACCACACATTGCCCTCAGACATGACATCTCCACTGCATCCAGCCTTCTCCTTGTTGCAACATTCACCACTAATGCTTTGCACCCATATAAAAGTGTTGGTATAACTATACTCTCATACATTCCCCTCTTTACTTCCACGGACAAAGTTCTTTGTCTCTACAATCTCCTAAGTGCATCACTCATCTTTTTCCCCTCATCAATTCTATGAGTTAGGGCATGCAAATCAAACATAAAATATTTACCTCCATTTTCATAGCTATCATCACCACCAGAGGGTCACCAGCCTCTACAGTCTGTCCTGGGGTGACAAACACCTTCTCAATCACCCCTGGCATTGGGGCAACTGCTCCACCTGCCACACCAGTAGCTTTCCCAATCTCTGTTTCAAACTTGGGAGCTGCCACAGAAATCTTCCATCCACCATTCTATATACAAGAGGATCAAAATAACACATTATAGACAATGGTTTGCTTGTGATACAAGAGTATCAATATAATACAAGTGGATCAAAATATCACATTATATATAATGTTTTGCTTGTAAGACAAGAGTATCAAAATAACACATTATTGACAATGTTTTGCTTGTAATGCAAGAGGATCAAAATTATACATTATGGACAAAGGTTTGCCTGTAACAAGTAAAACTTTCCTGAAAATAAAAGCTTCTCTGTAGCTTTTTTTTCTCATACTGTACACACATATATGCACTTGGGCATATACATACATGTACAGGCACACAAGCATGCATTTCCATGCACATATATACACACACTACATACATGCAGTATATAACATACAGTACCATCTCTACCAATCTATGTATACAAGCCTGAAAAAAAGCTGTTTGGAGTGACTTGTAAATTGTCATACCTGGGTGCCTCTGCAAAGACAGTGAGTATGTGTGAATGATAGTGAAAGTGTTTTTTTTCTTTTTTTAGGGTCACCCTGCCTCAGTGGGAGACGGCCGAAGTGTTAAAAAAAAAACCTCAATGGGAGAGCAGTGAATGAAATACACTGGGAAGTGCTAAACTCATAGGCTATACAGCACCTGGGAATGGGAGTAATTTTAACACTCTGGCTGTCTCCCACCAAGGTAGGGTGACCTGATGAAGAAAACACTTTCACTATCAATAATCAACCCTTGTCTTGCCAGAAGGGCACCAACATCAGAGTTTCCCTGAATTCCTTCATATATGTTATCTTGCTCACATTTCAATCTTTCATATTTGATAAAAAAGCTAGGAAGGGAGAGGCACCTCAATTTCTTAGTCATGAGCAACAACGTACCAACATTTATGTCCATTGACACACACACACACGAGTAAGACTAATAGCCTAAGATTCAACAGCAAATCCTTACCTGTGTGAAGATATAGATATCCCTGTTATCTATAACAATGTGAGAACAAGATACAGCTCCATCAATGGAAGTTGTTAAGCGACGGACATCGTTGTCACACACAAGAAATCCGCTCACAGAGAAACTTTTTCCACCAACTGTCATATGGTACCTTTGCGATCCTAAGTAATCAACCTGGACACTTTCATCTGGAAAATATATATAAAAAAAAACTCTTTATACATTACACCAATTAAATGCATTACCAAAATTTGTTTCTAGGCACTGAAGGTGACACTTCTCTCTTTAGAACCCCCTTTTATATCTTACTTTCTTACTGGTAGTTATTCTAAACTAACAGCAAACTTTACACCTACTGTAAAATATTAATCATAAGTGTTTTCTTGTTTCTAGACATAACTCAAACACTTGTCATAACTTGTCTATCTTACCTACTAACACCCAAAATTTTTAAACAGCTGTAATCATTATAATTGTTTTCTACTTGTCTAAAGTGAAAAGAACCATTTTTTTAAATTCAAGGAGAAAAAACTCTGCTTCATCTGTGTGATAACCTTGAAAGTGGTTTGTACTTTTATCAAAATGCAGTACAGGAGGGTGCCACTTATATAGCAGCTTAGGTTCTGGGTTACCACTGTGAAGTGAACATCACTGTAAAGCAACACTTTCAAATGCATATAAAAGCCTGATAACATGTTTACACTATCACATATTAAGTGAGCAATATAGCTAATCCTAAAAAAAATGCACATACAGTACATGCACAACTTACCTTAAAATATTTTTGTCCTTAGCTTATAGTGAGTGGTGAATATATTTAATGTAGGAAGTCTGAGTAAATGAAGAATAAGTATAATTGAGAAATGCTGTAAAGTAAACCACAGTAAAGCTGGGCCCTCCTGTATATATACAGTTACACATCTCACAGTGTATATACCCTCAAGGACTGCCAGGAGAGTAGTCAGTACTGGTTATCACCTTACACAGGACTTTCTGAGTGAAAGAAAACTGGAGAAAATGGTGTTATATAGACAGAGTCTAATATAGCTTATCATAGCTTGTGTTAGAAGCCAACTTGCTAAAAACCACTGTCAGCCATCACCTGTTCCTTCACATGTGACATTTATGGAGCGAGAGAGAACGTGGTTGATCCTTGGTATTGCTCCAGGGCAGAAAGGAGAGGTAGGATCTTGAGTGGCAGCTACAGCACGCACTCCTTCCTGCTCCTCCTCCAGTATCAGAGCCAATGCACTCTGTGGGCATTTTAACCACAATTTAGAATCAGGAAGTCAATGTTCTTTAAAAAAAAATATATATGTATTTTTTTTTTCAACAAACCGGCCATATCCCACCAAGGCAGGGTGGCCCAAAAAGAAAAATGAAAGTTTCTCTTTTCAAATTTAGTAATTTATACAGAAGAAGGGGTTACTAGCCCCTTGCTCCTGGCATTTTAGTCTCCTCTTACAACACGCATGGCTTACGGAGGAAGAATTCTGTTCCACTTCCCCATGGAGATAAGAGGAAATAAACAAGAACAACAACTAGTAAGAAAATAGAAGAAAACCCAGAGGGGTGTGTATATATATGCTTGTACATGTATGTGTAGTGTGACCTAAGTGTAAGTAGAAGTAGCAAGACATACCTGAAACCTTGCATGTTTATGAGACAGAAAAATGGACACCAGCAATCCTACCATCATGTAAAACAATTACAGGCTTTCGTTTTACGCTCACTTGGCAGGATGGTAGTACCTCCCTGGGCAATTGCTGTCTATCAACCTACTACCTATAATATAGTATATGTATATGTATAAAAAATATTAACAATATTCAAGACGATTTTTTTGTATAAATTATACCGATTTGATATTAATTTATATCAATTCTGGTAAAACAGTGACTGAATGAATTATGGTGAATGTGTTTCTTCTTTTTTGAGTTGCCCTACCTAGGTGGGAGAATTCCAGAGTGATAAAAAGAAATTGACTTTACTTGTTAGAGAAAAAACGAATTATTGCATCTTGAATGTTTGTTGATTTTTTTGTTTAATGCAAGACAAAAAAGTGTATTAGGCTGAATAGTAAACTTCTTTCTTTCTTTAAACGCACCGGCCGTATCCCACCGAGGCAGGGTGGCCCAAAAAGAAAAACAAAAGTTTCTCTTTTTAAATTTAGTAATTTATACAGGAGAAGGGGCTACTAGCCCCTTGCTCCTGGCATTTTAGTCGCCTCTTACAACACGCATGGCTTACGGAGGAAGAATTCTGTTCCACTTCCCCATGGAGATAAGAGGAAATAAACAAGAACAACAACTAGTAAGAAAATAGAAGAAAACCCAGAGGGGTGTGTATATATATGCTTGTACATGTATGTGTAGTGTGACCTAAGTGTAGTAGAAGTAGCAAGACATACCTGAAACCTTGCATGTTTATGAGACAGAAAAATGGACACCAGCAATCCTACCATCATGTAAAACAATTACAGGCTTTCGTTTTACGCTCACTTGGCAGGATGGTAGTACCTCCCTGGGCAATTGCTGTCTATCAACCTACTACCTATAATATAGTATATGTATATGTATAAAAAATATTAACAATATTCAAGACGATTTTTTTGTATAAATTATACCGATTTGATATTAATTTATATCAATTCTGGTAAAACAGTGACTGAATGAATTATGGTGAATGTGTTTCTTCTTTTTTGAGTTGCCCTACCTAGGTGGGAGAATTCCAGAGTGATAAAAAGAAATTGACTTTACTTGTTAGAGAAAAAACGAATTATTGCATCTTGAATGTTTGTTGATTTTTTTGTTTAATGCAAGACAAAAAAGTGTATTAGGCTGAATAGTAAACTGGTTTAGTGAAAAAAGTGCAGTGAAAGTTAGACAGTGGAGGTGAAAACAACTACAGTATTATAGTCATAGAGAAGTGGAAATGGCAGTGGAAATGGGAATGAAAATGGCAGTGGAAATGAGAATGAAAATGGAAGAGGAAGCAGGAATGAAAATGGCAGTGGACACAGGAATGAAAACAGGAGTGGAAATGGGAATTGAAATGGGAATGGGCATGGAAACAGGAATGGGAGCAAAAATGGGAGTGGAAATGGGAATGCATTAGATGAAAAGTGTGTGTGTGGAAGAAGTGTTAGAACCCTCCATGGAATACTGTCAAGGTGTTTTCACATTAATGTATGCAGTTTGACAAGGCTCCTGGAGAGTGAAATGCTGCCACAATAAAATGTTGCATCAGCTGCATGTGTCCTTTTACTTAAGAATTTTCTAACATGTGCCATTTCTTACAAAGGCAAGGGTGACCAAAAGAAATACATTTTCTAGTTATCCTGCCAGAAATACAAAAACATCACAATTCAACTCATCTCTGAGCTGCAACACCTACCCATAAGAGAGACATAAATGATGTTTATGAGCATAATTTGACTAGACAGCTGAGTGCTGCTTGACCTGGTGATTGTTTACATGTGAAAAGTGGAGAGAGGAAAGAATTTGCTGTGTCTCACTTTAAGAACCAAAAAGAAACAGATGTGGGTTCAAAGAGAGCAAAATACTGGTAAAAATTATCACAGCATCAGTCTTCTCAAAAATGTTCGAATGACCTGTCTGCAAAGTACGTAGAATGTGCAGCACTATTTTTCATTTTCTCCTATAAATTTACCATCATAAAGATGTAGAAATAAAATAAAAAAAGCTACTTCTGAAGACATGAGAAAGTGTGCAAGCAATAGTAAAATATTACAGCAGTCACAGGTGACCACCATGTCTGGGGAATGAACATTGGAAATACAATTTATTCCTGGCTTTGACATTGCAAATTTATAAGCAGCACGGCAATGCTGAATCTTCTTTCTTCTTTCAACGTACCAGCCGTATCCCACTGAGGTGGGGTGGCCCCAAAGAAAAAACTGAAGTTTCTCCTTTTAAATTTAGTAATATATACAGGAGAAGGGGTTACTAGCCCCTTGCTCCCGGCATTTTAGTCGCCTCTTACGACACGCATGGCTTACAGAGGAAGAATTCTGTTCCACTTCCCCATGGAGATAAGAGGAAATAAACAAGAACAAGAATTAGAAAGAAAATAGAAGAAAAACCCAGAGGGGTGTGTATATATATGCTTGTACATGTATGTGTAGTGTGACCTAAGTGTAAGTAGAAGTAGCAAGACTTACCTGTAATCTTGCATATTTATGAGACAGACAAAAGACACCAGCAATCCTACCATCATGTAAAACAATTACAGGCTTTCGTTTTAACACTACTTGGCAGGACGGTAGTACCTCCCTGGGCGGTTGCTCAGGGAGGTACTACCGTCCTGCCAAGTGAGTGTAAAACGGAATCCTGTAATTGTTTTACATGATGGTAGGATTGCTGGTGTCTTTTTTCTGTCTCTTAAACATGCACGATTTCAGGTACGTCTTGCTACTTCTACTTACACTTAGGTCACTCTACACATACATGTACAAGCATATATATACACACCCCTCTGGGTTTTCTTCTATTTTCTTTCTAGTTCTTGTTCTTGTTTATTTCCTCTTATCTCCATGGGGAAGTGGAACAGAATTCTTCCTCCATAAGTCATGCATGTTGTAAGAGGCGACTAAAATGCCAGGAGCAAGGGCCTAGTAACCCCTTCTCCTGTATAAATTACTAAATTTAAAAAGAGAAACTTTTGTTTTTCTTTTTGGGCCAGGCTGCCTTGGTGGGATACGGCCGGTTTGTTGAAAAAAAAAAAATAATTTACAGTTGAGTAAAAATGTTAACAGTACTGTAACTAAAAGTAAGAAGTGATGGTCATGAAGGTCACAGCATTTAACATAAACTTGTAGAGATGAGTCACATGTGAAAAAGCAACTTTCAAGGTTGCAAAAGAAAGAGAGCATGAGTGAGAGGAAAGGTTGGAGGGAGGGATAATAGTGTACCAAAAAAATTTAATGCTAGAGTTAGGAGTTAAATACTTATTAAAAATACAATGAGAGGTATAATTCGGGGAGTAGAGGAGGGGTTGCTGAGATCATGTACTCATTTAGGAAGGATGTAGTAGAATATATTGATCAAGAGAGTGTATAAATTCAGGGTAAACAGAAAGAGGGGGCAGGGGTTGCCTGAGGAAGGGTTGGAGAGAGAGGGTGAAGAAGGTTTTGTGTGGTAAAGGATTGAGCATCCAGGAGGCATATGTAGGCATGTTAGATTAAAGTGAGTTGAGACAAGTGGTTTTGGGGATTTGATGTTCTGTTGGAGTGTGCACAAAGTAGCATATACAGAGATTCAGAGTAACTGGGCCTTGTATAATACATTCAGTTTTAGGTCAATGCTTTGTATTTCACTAATGAGTATAATGAGACGGAGCTGTTTTTGAATACTAATCACTAATCATCTCTGCTTTGATGTTAATTGACTAATATATCCATTAACCAATATTATATTGAAAAATAATCTCTTAGACTATTATTTTATAGAGTAATTCAAAGCTACTTTATTGCATTGTTTGATTACTGAAGACCAATTAAAATACTTTATAACAATACAAGACTGAAAGATACTGTATGAAGATAAATTTCACAACATTAATAAATAAAACTAACTTGGCAAAATAGATGGTGAGAGGGTTTCTTGTCTGGGAACAAGTCATTATAATGGTCAGGGATGAAGTCTGTGCTAACGTCACCTGCTACGAAGCTTGGATGAGAGGCTAAGCTCAGCAGAAAGTTAACATTGGTGTTCAGCCCCACTATCTGTTGAAGAGAAATATAAATTGTTGTTACCAGAGTCAATGCTAACTTCTGAAGAATGAACGGGTGGTGGCTTATTTGTCAAGAAACACGAAAGCCTCTCCTGACACAGTTATGTGTTAGATTACGACAGCCTTGGTGATTAAGCAACGATGGCCATACTGGTGGTATGTATCTGTGGTTCAGCACCTGCGGTGTACCAAAGCCAAGTTTTCCACCCCATTTTAGAAACTAAAGATTATTGTTTTGTGTGAGAGAATAATCTCTGTTTTACAATTGTTTGAATTTGTAATGGCTGACTATGTTAACCACAGGGTTAAGGATTAGTGTACTCCAAAACTTTTATTCAATTTCACCTTAGCAAAACACATCAGTAGGTAATTATAAATGAAACTGCTGTACCTCACCTTCCCTTCCATTAACTGTTCTTCACATGTGGTATCTCTGAACTACCTGTTGTAATGTGCATTTGCTATTATATGATGTCCCATTTCTATCAATAATCATGAATATGTGATTTACACTGTATATGATCAATATGGTTCACAAGGTACTGAAGATTCTTAATATGCCTAATTAAATTTTAATGGACTGACTGAGTGTAGGAAGCATATGTATAGACCACTTAAACATGAGGGGTGGGATAGGAACTCCCACAGTTCAGTTTGCAGAGCTGCAAATTATTCTCCCAGGAGTAGCACTGTGCTCGTTGAATTTTACGGAGCGTTCATCGAAAATATGATGCAATTTTGCAATACATAGTGCAACAAAGTAAATGCGTAAGAGGACTGCATGTTAATTGATGGTCTACTGTCCTGAGAAAGTATTGGTACTGGCCTAAAACTGAATACTGGTACTGGCAAAATTTTGGTATCGTCCCATCTCTAATGACAGTATAATGTTTTTAATACGAAAATTACTTCCTGTGAAGGGTGAAAACTAGTATAACAGAGGAATCACTATTCCTATAGTGATTCCTGGAGCTAACCATGGAAATACACTCATGATATAGGCAACTACTATGATTAATAAAGTACTTACATTGTAGTCAGTAAGGCAAGCAGTAAGAGTGTTGAGTGCATGCATCCTGTCATGTCCCCAGACCACCAGCTTAGCTATCATTGGGTCATAATGGACAGACACTTCATCCCCCTGCCTCACACCTACAACACAAAATCAAAGCATTACAGATGGCTTCAGAAACAGTAAGCAATTGACTGAAATGGTGACTTCTATACTGGACATCAATGTCACATCCTCAAAGCTTTCTGCTGGAGGCTAAGCTAGTGGATTTTTTTCCCCTCATATAACTATGAGGGAGAGTTAAGCTTATGTGAAGTATTGGGAAAATTCTCACATCACAAAGAGTGATGATAAATAAACCATCAGTTCAGTTTATATGGTAAAATGAGAAGATTTACAAACGAAGCAGCCACGAAATGTGTGTGAGTGTGTTAGATATGAGTGAATGAAGGCAAGTCGTTTTTACCACTTAACGTGCTGTTGGAGTGTAAGCAAGGTAATATTTATGAAGGGATTAGGGGAAACCAGGTAGCTGGATTCAAGTTCTGGAGGTGGGAAGTATAATACTTGCATTTTGTGCAAGAAAGGTATAAAATACCGACAATATGAAAGTTAAGACACATGTGCAACATCTGGTTATCTTTATTGTAGATGTTTTGCCATCCAATGGGTTTATCAATACAGATTCTAGGACATAATTAGAAGACAGTAGAACTATATACAAAAGATGAGGCAATCAGTCCCTCAGCCTTGGAGTTGGTGGATGGCAAAACATCTCCAATAAAGATAACCAGATGTTCCACATGTGTACTTGCATTTTGAAGGAAGGGTGGCGATACTGCAACCTGGAGGAGCATCTGAGCTGTAATGTCATATACCTCTGGCTAGATGGTGATGGAGTGAGTGATGAAAGTTTTTCTTCTTTTTCAGGTCACTCTACCTTGGTGGGAGATAGCCAGTGTATTTAAGAAAAAATAAAGCACTTCCTACATGCAAAAATGTTTTAGTAGCAATCTATGCATGTTATAATATTAAAGGAGTGAACAATGAAAAACTAAAAAAAAAAGTGAAATATGATTATGATAGCCAAATAGCATTACAACATAATACTCTTTAAAACTAACTCACAGATCAGAGAGGAAACTTTAAATATTTTGGCCTTGGACCATTATCAAGTCACAAATGATGAGAAAACTGAGAGGCAGGTGAAGAAATGAGAGAAAAAGGTGAAAGACAGACAGATGAGGAGAAACCTAAGGTGAAGTTAAGGTACATGTGCTCCAAAGATTAAAGTAGTGAACCCTCCATATGAAAGACATTGATACAGTAGACTTTTGAAATGGTGGGTAAAATCCCCTGGGTAAATTTAACTTTTATTTGGTTTATATTTAATATGCATTACAATATATTTACCATAGTATGTACAATATACTATAGTAAGTACAGTTACACCACTGATTTTCCGGCAACCCTGGTTCCAAAGCTTTGTCGGATTAACAGTTTTGCTGAATCAATGGTGGTCACCTTCATCAACACACTTTAACACACTAATTATACATTTCCCGTATGTCTCTAAAGTACCATGGACTGCTAGAACCTTAAGCTAAAGAAATATTAAATACTGCTAGTGCCTTAAATTAAAGAAATATATTAAATATATTAAATGTAAATTAATTTTTTTTTTCAACATGCTGGCCGACTCCCACTGAGGCAGGATGACCCAAAAAAGAAAGAAACACTTTCACCATCATTCAACATTAGGACAATCCTCCCTATTAGTCTGTTATACAGAGAGGGTTATTGTATTTGATAGTATTGCATATTTTGTGGTTTCAGAGCAGTATGAAGCAGTTTCAATCATACTTCAAACTTTAAATACAATATGCAAATACGTACACAGAATTTGTGGCAAATTTTAACACCCCCTTTTTATGGGCAGTCAGTCTACCTAACATTCGGGGATACACCACAGAATAGACAATATTATAATTCTATGACCTACTTATTGACATGAGAAAATCTTGACACTGATTTACCAGTTTCTATCCGCACACAGTTGCTGGGCGGAGGTGTGGACAGGTGAGTTAGTGGTCCGGCTCCTGGTAGGAAGCCACCTTTAGGATCCTCAGCATATATCCTGGCTTCAAAGCTATGTCCTGAGAGTTTGATCTCATCCTGTAGTTGAGGCAAGGGTTCCCCAGCTGCAACCTGTCAGAACAAGTTAGTAGGCAATTGAAAATATTAAAGTACCTTCTAGTTTTTAACTCAAAAGCACCAAGATCCCTAAATAAAAAAAAACAAAAATTGATAAAAGGTTATTAAATTAAAAAAAAAATATATATATATGAGAAGTTACACTTACTAACTAGCATACCATATGAGAGGTTACACTCACTCTGAGCTGCCACTCCACAAGGTCAGTGCTGGTAATCATCTCAGAGACGGGATGCTCCACCTGAAGACGGGTATTCATCTCCATGAAATAGAAGTTGTGCGAGGAGTCCAGGATAAACTCCACAGTGCCAGCGCCCACGTACCCTACAGCATGGGCTGCACGCACGGCAGCCTCTCCGAGTGATCGGCGAACTTCCCACGTCAAGCCAGGCTAGAATTAAGTTCAACTGTTCATAATCACATTTTTAAAATTATAACACGTAACTGTAAAAAATAATAAGGGTTTGTTTGCAATCGTGTTATTATGATTTCACGAATATTATGTATGTATAGTTTATGCCATAGTAAAAAATTATGTATTTGAATGTTTTTTTATTTAACCTTGGTCCAAAATATGAGTGGAGTATTTTAAAAGTGGGACTGATATGAAACCTGAAAGGAAATTTAGAAGCAGGCCAGAAACAATGGAGTTCAAAAAAAAATATCAAATAAAGAAGTTTATAAATACAGTAATAAAACAACTGGCTAAGTTATGACAGGGACTGACACTGTAGCTGAATTATTAATAAATGGTCATCACAAACAACAGTAGCTGTTGTCTTTTCAGCATGGCACATTCAATTTAATACACAACATTTCATTATCATTTACTGCTTTGATTCATATATTTAAATTTTTTTGTAAATTTTTCTTTCAGTTTTATTTTATAGATAATATTTCTGGAATTTATCTCACTTTATATAATGAGATCACTAAGAAAAGACGTTTTGCTTAACAAGGATTTACCTATGATAGTGAATGGTTTACCAGGAATGTAACCCATCTGTTAAGTGAGGATTGACTGAGAATGTATGTTTCTTGTTGACTCAGTCTTGTTACCCATCTGCTAAGTGAGGACTGGCTGAGGATTTATGTCTCTTGTACACTCAGTCTTCACATAAAGTTGGAGAAACATACAGAGCCATCTGACAGTGAAGACTAGCAGAAGTTGTACAGCCATGTTTTATTATACACTCAACCCTCATACATACACAAAAAGGTTTCCCCTTGCTTTATGCAAGTTTGCTTGTAGGCAGTGCTCTCATTCCTACCAGTAATTTACAACATGTAGCATAAATGGATTCTAGTATAATTACCCAAGCCCAACATATTTAACAATGGCTATAAAATTATCACTTTAAACTTATTTACACTGACTATGACAGATTTGGACATGGGAAACCCAAATAGCATAATTTGAACTAAAGTCTATGGCTTGTTTTCAAGTTTAGTCTTGTGTGAAGTCAACTGGAATTGGGCACATAGTCAGATGAAGTTCACTGGTGGTGACTACATTCAAGCTAGATGTGACTACATTCAACAGGTCACAGGTATGCAAGTCATATAATGGGATGGTAGAATCTACCTCAGCACCATTGTCTTCTACCATCCAATTATGTGTCCCTTTTAATTTTTGCTTCTCTGAAATACTAGTGTTTCCTGTTTGTTTGCTTTTCCTTCTGCCTAAGTCACAGTAACATATACCATTTTCAATAAAATACAGCAGTATCCTGTGACTCAATGCTAGAGCTCTACTACTACCTGCAGCTCAGACTAGACCAGGCTTCCCTCCTGACTGCTTAGTCATCTTTCTGGTAAGAGTAAAAAGGCACAATACTGTGATTAGAACAATGCACAATACTGTGACTGGAATAATACACAAATAACCCACACATATTAGAGAGAAGCTTACGACGATATTTTGGTTCAACTTGGACCATTTACAAAGTCACACTAACACAAGAGGGAGCCAATATAGAGTGAATGGTCTAAGTTGGACTGAAACGTTGTCGCAAGCCTATCTCTCCTCTGTGTGGGTTATTTGTGTATTTATGGTAAAAATTTCTTCCTCCTTTTAAGTAAATATTATGTCTAATATTGGCAGTTGGGGCAATTCTGGAATGCAACCAACAGAAACACCACCACCTCTTTGAATCTGTTGAGCCCTAGTATACTATAGTAGCTTAGAGCTATAAAAAAAAAAACAATTTTTTTAGGAAAATCTACCCTGTATGATGTATAGCATTGGCACTATTTCCCTTGTTTTGAAAGTTTCCATTATCAACTCTGTCATCTTCCTGGCTGTCATGACCTTGGTCTTATTGTGTTCTTTGAAAGAAAGGTCAGCTGACATAATTACTCCCAGGTCTTCCACATGTTTCTTTCGTACCATTTGATGATCCTCTTGAGTTTTGCATAGTGTCCCTTTTGAGTTCTTCATTCTTTCCATGTATAAGCAACTGGAATTGATCACCACTGAGTGTCATATTATTCTTTGCTGCCCACTGGAAAATGGTGCTTATATTTTCTTGCATCTTTCCAAATATGCAGAGCTGGGAGGCAGGATGCTGGATTTTTTTTTAAACAAAAATTGGATACATCAACAGTCTGCTGCTACCCTATTCTACATGATAGCTAATTTTCCCTTCGATATACCTATGATGAGTTCCGAGAATTTTTCTACTCCCAAAGCCTGGCAATGTCTTCATGAATGTGATCCACAAGAGTCTACTAACATGCAGTACCTATATTATATGTAGGCAGGGGCAGCAAGGGTGTAAAAAGTAAGGATGCACACATAACACACAGTACATAGCATTTGTGAATATAATAATGGTAGACAATACCCACAAGTTGCTAAGTAAGACACACGTACAACAATTAGGTATCTTTATTCTAAAATGTTTTGCCTACACAGTAGGCCCATTGTGTAGGTGAAATGTTTCAGGATGAAGATATCTAACTTTGGTATATTTGTCTTACTTACCACATGGTACTTGTCATGAAGGTTGGGACAGCAGCAATGAATACTTACAGGTTTAATTAAGTTATTGTTAGATTAATCTGAAGTATGCCTGAATTACACTGCATAACTACAGGCTTTTCATGTATGATAAAACTATGTGATGCTAAGGAAAATAAAGTTTACTTTACTAAATAGTAGGGGAGTTTCAGTGGGGGGAAATAAATAGGATTAAATCTGGAGTATCTGAGAGAGTTAGAGCAAAGGAAGGGGTAGCAGTAATGTTAAATGATCAGTTATGGAAGGAGAAAAGAGAATATGAATGTGTAAATTCAAGAATTATGTGGATTAAAGTAAAGGTTGGATGCGAGAAGTGGGTCATAATAAGCGTGTATGCACCTGGAGAAGAGAGGAATGCAGAGGAGAGAGAGAGATTTTGGGAGATGTTAAGTGAATGTATAGGAGCCTTTGAACCAAGTGAGAGAGTAATTGTGGTAGGGGACCTGAATGCTAAAGTAGGAGAACCTTTTAAGAGAGGGTGTGGTAGGTAAGTTTGGGGTACCAGGTGTAAATGATAATGGGAGCCCTTTGATTGAACTTTGTATAGAAAGGGGTTTAGTTATAGGTAATACATATTTTAAGAAAAAGAGGATAAATAAGTATACAAGATATGATGTAGGGCGAAATGACAGTAGTTTGTTGGATTATGTATTGGTAGATAAAAGACTGTTGAGTAGACTTCAGGATGTATATGTTTATAGAGGGGCCACAGATATATCAGATCACTTTCTAGTTGTAGCTACACTGAGAGTAAAAGGTAGATGGGATACAAGGAGAATAGAAGCATCAGGGAAGAGAGAGGTGAAGGTTTATAAACTAAAAGAGGAGGCAGTTAGGGTAAGATATAAACAGCTATTGGAGGATAGATGGGCTAATGAGAGCATAGGCAATGGGGTCGAAGAGGTATGGGGTAGGTTTAAAAATGTAGTGTTAGAGTGTTCAGCAGAAGTTTGTGGTTACAGGAAAGTGGGTGCGGGAGGGAAGAGGAGCGATTGGTGGAATGATGATGTAAAGAGAGTAGTAAGGGAGAAAAAGTTAGCATATGAGAAGTTTTTACAAAGTAGAAGTGATGCAAGGAGGGAAGAGTATATGGAGAAAAAGAGAGAGGTTAAGAGAATGGTGAAGCAATGTAAAAAGAGAGCAAATGAGAGAGTGGGTGAGATGTTATCAACAAATTTTGTTGAAAATAAGAAAAAGTTTTGGAGTGAGATTAACAAGTTAAGAAAGCCTAGAGAACAAATGGATTTGTCAGTTAAAAATAGGAGAGGAGAGTTATTAAATGGAGAGTTAGAGGTATTGGGAAGATGGAGGGAATATTTTGAGGAATTGTTAAATGTTGATGAAGATAGGGAAGCTGTGATTTCGTGTATAGGACAAGAGGAATAACATCTTGTAGGAGTGAGGAAGAGCCAGTTGTGAGTGTGGGGGAAGTTCGTGAGGCAGTAGGTAAAATGAAAGGGGGTAAGGCAGCCGGGATTGATGGGATAAAGATAGAAATGTTAAAAGCAGGTGGGGATATAGTTTTGGAGTGGTTGGTGCAATTATTTAATAAATGTATGGAAGAGGGTAAGGTACCTAGGGATTGGCAGAGAGCATGCATAGTTCCTTTGTATAAAGGCAAAGGGGATAAAAGAGAGTGCAAAAATTATAGGGGGATAAGTCTGCTGAGTATACCTGGTAAAGTGTATGGTAGAGTTATTATTGAAAGAATTAAGAGTAAGACGGAGAATAGGATAGCAGATGAACAAGGAGGCTTTAGGAAAGATAGGGGGTGTGTGGACCAGGTGTTTACAGTGAAACATATAAGTGAACAGTATTAGATAAGGCTAAAGAGGTCTTTGTGGCATTTATGGATTTGGAAAAGGCGTATGACAGGGTGGATAGGGACACAATGTGGCAGATGTTGCAAGTGTATGGTGTAGGAGGTAGGTTACTGAAAGCAGTGAAGAGTTTTTACGAGGATAGTGAGGCTCAAGTTAGAGTATGTAGGAAAGAGGGAAATTATTTCCCAGTAAAAGTAGGCCTTAGACAAGGATGTGTGATGTCACCGTGGTTGTTTAATATATTTATAGATGGGGTTGTAAGAGAAGTAAATGCGAGGTCTTGGCAAGAGGCGTGGAGTTAAAAGATAAAGAATCACACACAAAGTGGGAGTTGTCACAGCTGCTCTTTGCTGATGACACTGTGCTCTTGGGAGATTCTGAAGAGAAGTTGCAGAGATTGGTGGATGAATTTGGTAGGGTGTGCAAAAGAAGAAAATTAAAGGTGAATACAGGAAAGAGTAAGGTTATGAGGATAACAAAAAGATTAGGTGATGAAAGATTGAATATCAGATTGGAGGGAGAGAGTATGGAGGAGGTGAATGTATTCAGATATTTGGGAGTGGACGTGTCAGCGGATGGGTCTATGAAAGATGAGGTGAATCATAGAATTGATGAGGGGAAAAGAGTGAGTGGTGCACTTAGGAGTCTGTGGAGACAAAGAACTTTGTCCTTGGAGGCAAAGAGGGGAATGTATGAGAGTATAGTTTTACCAACGCTCTTATATGGGTGTGAAACATGGGTGATGAATGTTGCAGCGAGGAGAAGGCTGGAGGCAGTGGAGATGTCATGTCTGAGGGCAATGTGTGGTGTGAATATAATGCAGAGAATTCGTAGTTTGGAAGTTAGGAGGAGGTGCGGGATTACCAAAACTGTTGTCCAGAGGGCTGAGGAAGGGTTGTTGAGGTGGTTCGGACATGTAGAGAGAATGGAGCGAAACAGAATGACTTCAAGAGTGTATCAGTCTGTAGTGGAAGGAAGGCGGGGTAGGGGTCGGCCTAGGAAAGGTTGGAGAGAGGGGGTAAAGGAGGTTTTGTGTGCGAGGGGCTTGGACTTCCAGCAGGTATGCGTGAGCGTGTTTGATAGGAGTGAATGGAGACAAATGGTTTTTAATACTTGACGTGCTGTTGGAGTGTGAGCAAAGTAACATTTATGAAGGGGTTCAGGGAAACCGGCAGGCCGGACTTGAGTCCTGGAGATGGGAAGTACAGTGCCTGCACTCTGAAGGAGGGGTGTTAATGTTGCAGTTTAAAAACTGTAGTGTAAAGCACCCTTCTGGCAAGACAGTGATGGAGTGAATGATGGTGAAAGTTTTTCTTTTTCGGGCCACCCTGCCTTGGTGGGAATCGGCCAGTGTGATAATAAAAAATAAAAAAATAATAACAGTTTAACACTAATGCATAATAAAGAAACTTACAGCTGGGGCTTCTTCAATAATTTTCTGATGGCGACGCTGAACTGAACAATCCCTTTCAAACAGATAGACGTAGTTACCATGATGATCGCCAAAAATCTATTAAAAAAATAATGAAAGAGTTAGTGCACTGATGCATAAGTATGTGTTTCCAGTGACTCCAAGTCAATACTTCCCTCCACAACAATATACATTAATGGAATCTCAAATATATGATAATCTGAAGAAGGCCCTACTATGTAATACAACTTTTATAATTTCTTGTACTCATTCACAGCCATTCATGTACTCCACAACCATTCACATACTCACTAAAAGCCATCCACATACTCATTCGCAGCCATTTCCTTCTCCAGTTTCTTTTTTCTTTTTTAACAAACCAGCTGTCTCCCACCAAGGTAGGGTGACCTAAAAAAAGAAGAGCCACTTTCACCATCATTCACTCTGCCACTGTCTTGCCAGAGGCATGCCAACACTACAGTTCAAAACTGCAATCCCCACCCCTCCTTCAGAGGCAGAACTGTACTTCCCACCTCCAGGACTCAAGTTTGGCTAACTGGTTTCCTTGAATCCCTTCATACTTTGCTCACACTCCAACAGCATGTTAAGTCATAAAAATCACTTTCATGTATACAATTATTGAAGAACAAGTCATATTCCATGGAGTATGACTTGTTCTTATCTCCATGGAGGTACATCTTCAGACATTTCAGTTCTTCCTGGACTGAAATTATATAATCAAAAGAATTTTATCTTGATGATAGACCAGGAAGTACCAACACATTTTTTTTTTCCAATTTGTGGCACGTAATATTTGTGAATAAATCTGAAGGATATTTGTGAATATATCTTTATTGTTCATTTTTTGTAATCTTGGTGGTTGAAGTATTATATTAGGTATTATTTCTTTCCTAGTACCAATAAATGATCTGTTTTCTAAACTGAATTCCTTCAACTTTTATACTCTCCTTTAAAATGCCATCTGAAACCCTACGTTGTCTCAGCAAAAAATATTTATCAATATTCTTATACTCTAATTAAAAGTTTTTTTTCTTGATAGCATGAACTGAAAAAAATGAAAACCAGAAAACATGTTTGAGTACAAGTACAGTATTTAACAGAAAATATATTAGTTATATTATTATCAGCAAGTTGACACCACATGATCATACCTGAACTTCTACGTGTCTTGGTCGCTGCACAAACTTTTCAATGAGCATGACATCATCACCAAAAGATTTAGTTGCCTCACGTCTCGCTGATTCAAGCTGTGCTTCAAATTCTTCCCTTTTCATGGCAATACGCATACCCTGTAGAGAGTAAACTGCTTGTATTTGTGACTCCCAAAGAAGTTTAAGCTTAATGGTATAGAAGAATATCACAAGAAGAATCTATAATTATGCTCTGGTCTCAAACATGCAATGGGTATTTCAGAGGAATTAAAATAAATTGAAAACTATTACAAGGGATCATTATAAACAAAATACAGTACAAACAAGATGAAAAACAGAATAGTTTAACAGACAATGGAAATCCATAAAATAGAAAAAACTTGTACAGTAGTCAATAGAGAAAGTAACCTTGATATAGTATAAGAAATATGCACAACACTTCGATATCTTCACTTGCAACAGACTACTTCAGTCAAGTACAGGTGAATGTAACACTGGAGACAATAGAAGCAGTAGTTTCAGCAGTAAAGATGCCAAGTGTTGCACATGTATCTTATTCATCAACCTGTCAATACTATATACCATCCATAGTGACCCTACTTAAAAACATACAAAGGTTAAGCATGTAAGAAACACAAACAACAGTACAGGACTCTCTTGTTATATAAATCATGGAATGGTTGGGCTTGAACTCACGGCAAGTGAGTCCTAAAACTCACAGACCAGTCATTTGTTTGCAATCGTGTTATTATTAACCCCAAAATATATCAATTCTTTTAATCTTGGGTGATTATAATGGTCATTATACAGTAGAGCAAAAAATGTAATGGCTTTCATCTTGTTTGTTTTCTTACAAGATACACTGTATTGTGTTTTAAATGAAAAAATATATAAATTTTGGTAGAAAAACTACAAATATTGATAGTAAACGTATATTATATTATTTGTGCATGCATTATATATATACAGGTACTGTACAAGCTTAACATACTAGCAGGGAAAGGTTTGAGAATCTTGGCAGAATCTTTGTTTCTTGAAGGTAAGCACAAGTTTCCCACAAAATTTTTATAAATATTAATTTAAACACTTCTCATACTATACAGACATCATTACCAACCCCCTAAAGTGTGAAAAATATAAGAGTATTTAAAAATTTGCTTATATATAATATTTTCCAAATCCAGGAAAGCAATAAACAGATATTTTTCTCTAATAAAGAGACACAATAAGGAATATTAATAGTGTATCAATATATATTATGGTGCTACAGCTAATATAGTGGAAAATCAATTACAAATACCACACAATAATTTAATCACTTCACCCAAATAAAATTTAAATAAGAGAATAAGTAAATACTATTTCAAGTCACCTTGCCACCACCTCCTCGTACAGCTTTTATCATGACTGGGAAACCAATTTTTTCAGCTTCTTGGTACAGTCGCTTGTCACTTTGGTCCTCACCGTGGTACCCACCAATGACTGGTACAGATGCTGCTGACATGATCTTTTTAGATGTACTGCAAAATATAAATACTATACAATATTTAATACTAACTTTAATATTATACAGTATATAAAATACATCTTTGTAAGTTATGGAGAATTATTATCATTTTTTTTCAATTCACTGGCTGCCTTCCACAGAGGTAGGGTGACCAAAAAAGAAAAACAAAAGGTTTTCCTTTTTACAGTTAGTAATTTATACAGAAAGGGGTTACTAGCCCCTTGCTTCCAGCATTTTCGTTGCCTCTTACGACACGCAGGAAGGATTCTTTTTCACTTTCCCATGGGGATATTATTATTATTATTCAACAAAAGGCAGCTCTACACCCACAGGGGTTAAAGAACATCTGGAGAATGAGAGGCATTTAGGTTTAACTAAAGTAAGGTGAGTAGTTACAATTCCTTGGATCAAGAACCCTTCGGCACGAAGACATCCTCCTCAAAGGGAGATAACAAGAAAAGAGAGTATCCATTCGACTGTCCCAACACCTTACCTCTTGATTCCCATGTCCCTGATTGCAGTGGCAGGTGGGCCGACAAAAATTACGCCTTCCTTTGCACACTGCTCTGCAAATTCAACATTCTCGGAGAGGAAGCCATAGCCAGGGTGCACGGCCTGAGCACCGCTCCTCCTGACGACATCGAGAATTCTATCTCCCCTGAGGTAGGATTCCTGGGAGGCTGCACCCCCAATGTGATAAGCTTCATCTGCCTACACACAAAATTATTAATTAATAACCATTACAAATACTACTACTACACAGCAAAATGAACACAAATTATTGGCATATCACATAGTTATTATACTGCCTATCTCTATATTCCTCAATAAGTGGACAATCGAGTTTGGGAGGGTAAATACTGTAAAAGAAGAAAATTAAAAGTGAATAGTATTATACAGGACAGGTCATAAACTTACCAAAGCAACATGCATGGAGTTTTTGTCTGGCTCTGAATAGACAGCTACGGTTCGCACGCCCATTCTAGCAGCAGTGCGCTGCACACGACATGCAATTTCACCACGATTAGCTATGACCAGCTTGGTGATGGGACGATAAGTTACAGAAGTATGCTGGAGGCGAGTGCTCCCTGATCTAAGTGTCTGCCAGCCCCTGAGGAATCATGAAATTCTTGTAAAGATTACTGCTAATACATGTACATTTTTAATACAGTACATGTAGAGGTATACCCGTTTCAAATCAGGGAACGTGTAGAAATTGATTTGATTATGCCAATGAAGAGCTGCATATTTTGCATTAGTATTACTGAAAGAAGTTTCACAAAATCGTAACAACACTTTTGCAAACAAATTACGGAATAGGTGGGACTTGAACACATGGCAAGCAAGTCCTAAAACTCACAGACCAGTGTGTAAACCACTCGGCCAGCTGGCCAAGTGGTTTACACCACTGAAGTAGGGTGATCTGTTAGGGTGGCCACTTAGGTAAGGTGATCTGTTAAAGAAAAAACACTTTTACCATGAAAGTACGCACTCTATACATGCTTCATGTGAATATACACAAGGTATAAATAAATTGAGTACAAAACAATTAAGAAAAAATATTTACTTGAAAATAATTAGTCTGAATGTTTACAATGGCTGTAACAGCAGATCAATACTTAGATATGAGTAATTTTTTTTTTATGGTGCCAGTATCATAAGTGAAGAACATCATAAACCGGATCATCATTACCCAGGACCAACTGGATGTGTCTGTGCAAACATGTCATAAGGTCAGCTTGTGTTGGTGGTCAACATGGACCACGTCACATTGTGAATAGAAAAGACACAAACAAGATAATTCCCTAATTGTAGTTAACGTTTTACTATTGGGAGAAGCTGTACTGGCAGATTCAATAAAACTGGTCCCAAGAGAACTGCTGCCCACAATACACACTTGTTCATGGGTGGTGGTAACCATTTCACCATTGTAATAGTACGAGATCAAGGTATAATAATAAATCAAGGTATAATAAATCAAGGTACAATAATAAATCAAGGTACTGTATATTAATAAATCAAGTTACATTATTAAATTAATAAATGGTTTGGTCATTTAGAGAATGGAACAAAGTAGAATGACTTGGAGAGCACATAAATCTGTAACGGGAAGGAAGGCAGGGTAGGGGTCGTCCCTGAAAATATTAATAAATCAAGGTATAGTAATAAATCAAGGAATACAAACCAGATAATGTTTTACTATTAGGATGAACTTTACTGCCAGATTCAATAAGGTTTAAATAATAAGTTATTACAAGCGCCCCATTGGGGTCCTTGTAATAACTTATTATTTAAACCTTAAAAATTACAGCAGGTAAGTAATTTAACTATGTGAAAATCAGTTACAATAAAAGGAGATAAACTAGGAATACTACTATGTATGATAATCTATATAACAGTATTTGTGTATACCTGAATAAACTTCCTGTGCCTGGGGGGGGGATATATAGATGTGACAGTACAGTTATTACTGGTTTACCAAGTTGGCAGGACAATGTAGGACTTACTGAAGCAATAATCTGGTGTTGCAGCCTCTCATTATTACCAACATTATTAACAATAATAAACACGCTAGACCGGCTGGTCGTGTTGTTGGGTTTATAAGGTCCACTGACAGCTTCACTGTATCCAGCCTTCCTTACACATGTAATATATAATATGATAAGATAAGATTTCGTTCGGATTTTTAACCCCCGGAGGGTTAGCATCTCAGGATAACCCAAGAAAGTCAGTGCGTCATCGAGGACTGTCTGTCTTATTTCCATTGTGGTCCTCAATCTTGTCCCCCAGGATGCGACCCACACAAGTCGACTAACACTAAGGTACCTACTTACTGCTAGGTGAACAAGACAACAGGTGTAAGGAAACGCTTCGAAATGTTTCTACCCAGCCGGGAATCGAACCGAGGCCCTCCGTGTGTGAAGCGAGAGCTTTGCCAACCAGGCCACGGGGTCACCCATAATAAAAGTATCTTTATTTACTACAAGTACATGTACAAGGTATACAGACCATGGCTGACATAAATAACATACTACTATATAGAAAGCCGCTTGCTATACTGATCATTTCCCGCAAATTAGAAGTGAGCCAAAATGTACCTCATGAATAAGGCTACAGAAAGGAAGGAGAGTGATTTAATATATATATTATATATTATATATATATATATATATATATATATATATATATATATATATAATATTATTATATATATATATATATATAGAAGAGAGAGAGAGAGGAGAGAGAGAGAGAGAGAGAGAGAGAGAGAGAGAGAGAGAGAGAGAGAGAGAGAGAGAGAGAGAGAGAGAGATATCCTTGGGATGAAACAAATTTGATTCTAAACTGACCATGAAAAATCACGTTGTAAATCTTGCAAACAAAGCAGCCAGGAAGCTTACAGCACTTCGCCGTATCTTGCATCTGCTTGACAGCAGAAGTTGCAAGATTTTGTGCGAGGCACAAGTATGCTCACACCTTGAGTATGCTCCACTTTCTTGGTTCGCCTTTCCCCCTTCTCATCTGCGACTGCTTGACAGAGTAGAGAACAGAGCAAGACATCTCATCTCTCGCCTGGACCCATTCTGGATAGATCTGTCATTTCAGCAGAGCCTTCAACACAGGAGGGATGTGGGTGGCCTTACTGTTATGTACAAGGCCAATATTGTCAAAGTACCACACTTGGATCCACTTCGAGGACAGCGTGAAACAAGCTTTTATGCCACAAGACGGACAGAAAGCAGCAACTTCACTCTGGCTGCACCCTTCTCCAGAACATCACTCCATCTGAGATCATATATACCCAGGATGACTCAAGTATGGTACACATTCGTACAGCATAATGATGTAAACGAGATAAAGTCTGTTGATCAAATGAAAATGCTGGCCCACAGATGGCTCCAACTTCATCCTGTTCCCTACTTGTATGTCTCATAACAATAAAAATGCTTTCAAATGAGCTGATGTAGGTAACAGCTCTTAGCTTGTCACCAAAGTTAGGAATCCTTAACCTGTAAATAGCTTGTCAACAAAGCTAGGGATCGTTAACCTTTTCAAACCCTGTGTAAGAGAGAGAGAGAGAGAGAGAGAGAAGAAGAGAGAGAGAGAGAGAGAGAAGAGAGAGAGAGAGAGAGAGAGAGAGAGAGAGAGAGAGAGAGAGTGTGTCTTCTTTCTTTGTTGGGTTTATGAGGGCCACTGACAACAAACTTGAAATTTCCAATTAGATCCGGTGGACCCCCTTGCCAAGCTCCAGCAGAGAGGGTCGCCCACACTCCCACCTGAGTTCAGTAACCGGCTTCCCACCAAAGACCGTTAAAGAATTTTCAGCAGAACAGAAAAAATGGAGCTAGCCAAAGTATAAACGTAAGTAACCATTCTACAGAATTCATTACCTTTGTAACTTGTGAGCTCATTACCTTTGTACCTAGTTCAGCTATCAAAACTTTGGGGGCCCAGTCCCTGGACCCATTACGTACCTCTGTAATCTGTAAATACCTTTGTAACTTGTCATGATTGTGACCAGACTTACCTGGAGTTCATTACCTTTGTAAATTGTGAGTTCATTACCTTTGTAAATTGTGAGTTCATTACCTTTGTAAATTGTGAGTTCATTACCTCTGTAACTTGCTCAGCTATCAAAACTTTGGAGTCCAGTCCCTGGACCAATTATGTACCTCTGTAATCTTTTGACTACCGCCCACAGGATGGGTATGGGGTGCATAATAAACATATTAAACTAAAAAAAACTGGCTAGAGTAAGCCGATGTACAGATGCCCCTCCTGTAGGGTGTCCAATGGGCAAAATAGACGAGAACAAACGTCCCAGTAGAAAAGGTAGAAATTTGTCATGATCTCAGACGAGAGAGAGACGTCCATACCCCACGAAGGCTGGCGCCGAAGTCAACCCTGCTGCCCTTTTGGGCCCCCCCTCTTTTTGTTTTAAAAATTTTTTTAAAGCACCCCCTAACCCCTCCCGTGGCGGGTTTTTTGTCAAAAAATTACAGGGACTAAAATTGGGCCAGGGGCTGGGTCCAAAGTTTTTTATACTGAAAGTTACAGAGGGAATAATTAAAATTTTAAAAAGGGAATAACTCACGAATTACAAAGGTAATGAAAATCCAGTAGGTCTATCCAAACATGTGGGTTCCTCTCACATTGGTCTTCAGAGATTAGAAAAGATAAATTGGGTAACGTAGCTTTCAAAGAGGAGTGATTAAATTTGGGTTTCAGGGAGTATTTGAGAACAATAATACGAAAAGAACTTAATGATTTTATGGACTTTAAGGCTCATGGGGATTTCACCATTTCCATCTATCATCACTTATCATGCAGGAAGCCACATGTCTACGGTGCACCAACAAAATAAGCCCGCTCATTTGAGCAAAAAAAACATAAACCCCTACTCTACGGGGCCATGACCAGAGGGGGGTCAAAACAGATGGGTTCGACTCTTTGGCTAGTTTCAGTGTTGTTTTGATCATACCCCTCTTCCGGGGACAATAATATAATATACTGTTTTTGGGCTAAAAACCAAACAGGGGAGGTGAAATTAGCTCAGAGGCATCCCCACCACCGTTGTCCGAAGACGGAAAACATTAGCCTGGCTGGGTGCGTCATTCTTGGATTTTGTGATCCCCTGGGGCTAAAGCGGCATGGTTTTCGCTCCCATGAGAGGAGCCAAAAAAGCAGGGTTCGATCCTTGGGTAGTCCGGGTTAAAGAAAATACCCCATTTTACCCCTTCCCTAAAATTTTCTCTTTTTTAACTGTTACGTAGTTAAATACTTTCGTGTTTTTAACTTAAAAAATAAAAAAATACTTATCAAAAAGGGCCCCAATGAAAATAAGTCACTTTGATTTTTTTGGATTATCCTAGGTTGTTTATATATATGCTGCTATGTATGATAATCTATATAACTGTATTTGTGTATGACTGAATAAACTTACTTACCCAGGATGCGACCCACACCAGGTACCTAATTTACTGATGGGTGAACATGGAATTTTAAAACATCCTCACCTGGAAAATCCTAGAGGGACTAGTACCGAACTTGCACACGAAAATCACCCACTACGAAAGCAAAAGACTTGGCAGACGATGCACCATCCCCCCAATGAAAAGCAGGGGTGTCACTAGCACGTTAAGAGACCATACAATAAGTGTCAGGGGCCCGAGACTGTTCAACTGCCTCCCAGCACACATAAGGGGGATTACCAACAGACCCCTGGCAGTCTTCAAGCTGGCACTGGACAAGCACCTAAAGTCAGTTCCGGATCAGCCGGGCTGTGGCTCATATGTTGGTTTGCGTGCAGCCAGCAGCAACAGCCTGGTTGATCAGGCTCTGATCCACCAGGAGGCCTGGTCTCAGACCGGGCCGCGGGGGCGTTGACCCCCGGAACTCTCTCCAGGTAAACTCCAGGTAAACTCACCAGACGACTCCTTTACAATTTCATCTTCTAACCATGGAAAGACTGTCTTAATCACGCGCACTGAGGATGGATCATTGTGCCTTCTGCCTCAAATGCCCCGGCATGATAGTGGCTTTCTTTGTACTTAACAAATCAGAATTGTAAATGCACATTGTAACCTTGCAAAGAAATAAAATTTTTGTTTTGCTTCTCGAGAATTCCTGGAAGCCATCTAACTCAATCCTGTGAGAACACTACCTCGATGGGACATAACTCTTCTCCTGATAATTTGTATGGCAGTCAAGACAGGTACACATAGATACAGTTACATAAATTATCATACATTGCAGTATATGTATAGATTGCCTAGCATAACCCCCCAAAATCAAAGTGACTTATTTCCATTGAGGATCAACAAGTAGGCACCCTCACCATTACATGCCTAGGTGGTTAGATTAGGTAAGGTTCGTCAGGAAACAGGACAAGTGTTTCCTGATGCGGGTCTTAGTCAGATCTTCCTCTGTTGGGTTTCAGGGCCACTGACAGCATACGCCATATCGAGCCCGGTCTTAGTCAGATGGTGACCCGACATTGGAGCTTTTGATCATCTGACTGAGGCCTTCCGCTGGCTTACCGGTTCACCCCTTTAAAGATTAATGGTTATTATTATAACCATAATCTACAGCAATGTGATACCCGAGACCCTGGTGGGCTTATATAGTAAGTTTATTCAGGTATACACAAATACAGTTACATATATAATCATACATAGCAGCATATGTGTAGAGAACCTAGCTCCTAGAATAACCCAAAAAAGTCAAAGTTACTTATTTACATCGCTTAGTTTTGAGTATAATAATAGGCACAGCTCTCGCTTCACAGGCTGAGTGTCTAGTTCGATCCCCGGGAAGGGTAAAAACACTGGGCGTGTTTCCTTACACTTGTTATCCCGTTTACCTAGCAAGTAGGTACCTGGGTTAGTCAACTAATGTAAGTCGCATCCTGGAGGACAAGATTGAGGATGACAATGGGAACAAGGCAGACACTCCACTGATGACGCACTGCCTTTCCTGGATTATCCTGGGTGGCTAATCTTCCAGGGATAAAAATCCAGTCATATCACCACTGCCATATTACAAGTGAGGTTCGTGCTGACAATTCACCTTGAAAGTCAACCTGATTAATCATCTATTAGTTACAAGTTAATTTTAAGGGTGCTTGAAGTACTCTGCATCATGCCCGAGTAATGTACACT